CGATGCGTTCGTTTACACCTAGCTTTGTTGAGCTTCGTTCACTGTGTTGCTTTGCGAGTACTTACTCGTCCTTTGCCTTCCTTTCTTAGCCCGATCAAGCATTTTATCAAAAAATTCCCCATTTCTTTCTTGTCTTGGTTTTTGCCAATTTCTCGCACTTTCATTTATAGGGGTGCACTTTTTTACAAACATATTTTTGTTCACAGCAGAAGATGCTTTTTCATGGGAAAGCAAAACATCCGAGGATCGCTTTTTTTTTCTTCCTGGGAAAAAACAACGCTTGAGCCGTCTCCGAAAGGGAGGGGATGTTAGCATAGGAGAGAAAGCAGCACCAAATGAAGATAGCAGCCAAAAATGACGCGCAACTTCATTTAAATAATAAAATCTCGATGACCCTGGTTAGAACTGAGCCGGGGTTAATGTTTAGCGCTACAGCGTCTATATTCAGCATATTTGACTCAGTTCTTCAAGATAACTTCCTTCATTCAGTCGCAAAGCAAAATAGAAAATAAACAGAATATGATATCGTTAGTATTAATTTAAAAAATTTGTATCCCTCTAAGAAATGCATGCACTTCGAGGGGTCAAAACGCGTAAAAAATTGAAAAATTGGAAGATTGGGTTTTCTAAAAATAAGATTCCACTAGCGAGTAGTTTGTGGCATTATTGCTTCTCAGTGATTTTATTGAAATTGCAGAAATTCTCGACTTTTCTACACTTACAAATAATTTTTTGTTGCTTTTTCGAAATTTTTTGGCACATATTGTGAAAATATTAAGCTTAGCGAATTTTTAATTTTTTCTTCTCGACATGTGGGAACATTCCAGAAACATCACTGACATGGGATCCACACACCAATTGTCCGCTAGTTCTTATTATTCTTGGATAAAATCTTTCATATCATGTAAAGTGGAAGTTTTTGTTGAGAAGCAGCTCAGTATTCCATTTTTGTGTTATTCTGTACGCTCATTTAGCTCATACAAGTAGTTCAGGTGCCATGCGAAGTCAATCTTGCGACTAGAGCTACCCCAACCAACCTTGATATTAATTCGCCTTTTGATTGTGGCCATTTTTTATGCAAAACGTGCACGATTCTTGCGTGACATTATATACCTGGCGAAAGGCTGTACTCGTTTTTTTTTCTTGACTTTCAGTGTAATTAGAAAAATTGCGCGCCGGCACTGAAGATTGCCTGTGATTTTCAATTAGTCTTACGCTAGTAGCCATTTAGTCTGATGGATAGATTTATTGGTAAGCGCAGCGGACTGCATAGAGCTCGCAAGCCGCCTCATAGGGCCAGTAAACCTACTGAGCTTACAATTTTATTCGTGAAATGATGTATTTCGAGAAAAAATATCCACAAAACGCTTCGTTTCGTTTGTTTTCTTTATCATGATGACTGGAGCTGTTTCTTGATAACCATGGGCAACTATGGAAGAGGGGTTAGATTCAGGAGGATGTCTGGTCCCTCTTGCGGGAAAATTAAAAGTTTTGGGCCAGCAAGTTACGCGGTATTTTTTAACGATAATAAGTGCAGAAAGACCAAAATCCCCTAGATTCTTAATTTTTGTCCTACCTCTCACTGAATCCCTATCAATTTAAGATGAAAAAAACTAAAAACTAATAAAAAATTAGTTTTGCATGGCACTAAATTCGATGTTGAAAAAGTTGTGAATTAGCCGATGCATTGAAAGGAAGACTGAGCCAAGCGTCCAAGCATAAGCTGATTGCAGTAACAGTTAGCGGAAATGCTTCTAGGTGCGCTACGTTTTTGCATCATTCTCGACCCGTTTTGCTGGCTGAAAAGAAAAGCTTTTCACTGGTTCTGCTAAGTTCT